CAAAGCCGCTTACATAATGCGCTCTGCGCCCAGAGCGGCCTCCATTCACAAGTGGCTGCTGGTCATTGTGTGGGAGCATCGGAGAGGCACAAAGGCAGGAGGGAGGGGACGGAGACAGAGGCAGTGAATGAGCCCACTCAGCGCGGGGGCTGGGAGGGGAGCACCGACTGTTGTCCTCCCCACAAAGAGATCCTTCCCAGCTCCTTCCCGGGAGGCTGCAGAGGAGGGTCCTCTGGGTGATGAGTCGCAGGGGGCTGGGCGTGTCACCGTGTCACGGAGCCTGAGGCTGCCAGAGCTCCGAGTTCCAGCGCGACAGACAGCGAAAGCACGCAGACAGATGTCAGCAAGACAATGGCTTCGAGGAAACCACGGTGACATTGCAGACGGCAGCCTGGAGCCTCAGTGCTGCCACCCCACTTCCCTGACCCGAATGAGGGGCAGGATCGGATTGAGAAGAACCGGCTGCCTTCCCACCAGGCCGGAGCGCCCATCGCTGCAGCCACGTCACCGTCACCGTGGCCTCTGACAGCCCGGGGAGTCGTGGGTCCTGCCCTGGAGGTGCCTGCGGTGAGCCAGGACAAGCAAGAGACCTCGTTCTGGTTCTGCTCAGCCCCTGGGGACCCATGCGGGGAACGTGGCAGAACGTCCCAGGCTCACCACCCGTGGAGAGCTGCCCTGGGCGACACGTGTCACCGTGTGTTTTACATTTTTTAAACTCCCTTGCCTTAGAGCACAGGGGGCTTGTGACAGCACCGGGCCCCGGGCCCCTGCAACCAGAGTTTCAGAGCCCAAAGCTCGTCCCCTAACAAGTCCCCAGCTGACGTTGAGGAGCAGAGTGAGACCAACCGTCTGATTCCCGCCGATCGGACCCCCGGGTGGCAGGGCTTCCAGCCCCCCGCAGCACCAGCCCCGCTCCCGGCTCCTCTCCCAGGACAGACCTGGGAGGCTCCGCTCCTGCCTCAGACAACCAGCCTGCCTCGTCCCCAGGAAGGACCTCATGACGTCTCACTAAAGCACAAGTGACAAGGACTGGATGTGTCAATGCACCCCAAAGTATCGGCCCCTCAGCCAAGAGCAGAGCCTTAAAGCCAAGAAGGAGACCTACTGGACAGAATTCCGGTGAATGTGCTCAGTATTTCCGGGGACCCAGGAAGCCCCCTCTGAACCCCTCCCTCCAAAAGATCACATTTTACAGGTGGCCACTTACTTGATCTAAGACCCCAGATGGATTGTGTCTTTGTGACTATTTTATTCCCAATGCCCACTATGGTGCCAGGCATACAGTAGGTACTCAATAAATGTGTGATGTGGGATGAAGCAGCCGAGAGTGTGGGGTCAGGAGGACAGGGAGGCCTGCCTGGAGCCTGCAGCAGATCAGCATGGAAGCCGAGTCCTCCCCAACCCCTCACCCATGACTCATCATATTCAACCAACACTAGCTGAGCACCTACTGCATGCAGGCCTCCCCTCGACCCTGGGTCCAAGGCTGAGGTCCTGACCGGGAGGTCCAGACATCAATCATCAGAGCCATCATCATTCCTCCAGCAAGTCTTAGCTGAGCACCTGCCATGTGCTGATCCTGACCCCATGCAGCAGATGGCACAGCCCTGTGCCCTTAGGGACCAGCCCCCCAGCATCTCGGGGTCCCCAAGAAGGGCTACCATGGCAGGAAAGCGCTTCCCAGGAAGGGAGGGAGAGCTCGGGTTTCCTAGAGAAAATCCCCGCTCAGAGCTGTAGGTTGAGATGATTCAGCAAAAGCCTCCTAGGACGCGGGGGAGCTAAGGACGGTGCAGGAAGCAGGCTGCTCCTTCCAGACCCCCCTCCAGGCCTGCACAGCTCAGGCTGCCCGGGGCTGGTTACAGCCCCAGGGCTCAAGGGAAGGGAGGCCAAGACGCCCACTTCACAGATGGAGAAACTGAGGCCCTGGGCCCAGCAACTGCAGGAGACCATCACCAACGTCATCCTCAGACTGAGGTCCTGAGAGGGGACATAACCCAACGAGAAAGGGGTGGAAGCAGAATCTAAGCTCAGATGTCTGTTTCCAGAGACTGAGTTCTCAACCATGACACTGTGCTACCTTAAGATACCTAACTGAAGAAACTGAGGCTCAGAGAGGTTAAGGGCTTTGCCTGCAGTCACATAGCAAGGATGCATTGGAGTCAGAAATGGAACTCAAGTCTGGTTGCCCCCAGTCACCCCACACTGCAGCCCCTAGAGGTTCAATCATCTGGGGATGGAGGCACCCAGGGGTGGGGGACAGAAAGAGAGGGGTGCTCTCTGCAGTGTCTCCTCCTCCCCCTCGGTACCTCAAGGCTCCCCATCCTGGGCGGCAGCTAGATCACTTAAACTCATCGGCTCCAACCCACCACGCCTGGGCCCCAGATTTATTTTTATCCCAGGTTACAGCCACAGCTCTTAACAGAAATAAACCATGCTGCTTCCTCCTGTCGCCTGCACATCAATTCCCAGCTCGTCTGCGTTTGTGACCAGCTCCCCACTCAACGGGGATAAGGAGCCAGAGACAGGCCCATATGTCGCCGTGGTTTTTAATAGAAAGTCATGAACACCCGTGACCCACACACGGAGAGGGAAAGGGTTAAACCAACAGGAAGGCCACCTCCTGCAGGTCACCCCGCGGAGCGGCCACCCTGACCACAGTGCTCATCTTCAGACGGCACAGCCCAGGTGTGTGGAGAGCAGGAGGAAACCCTGAGCCACTTGGGGGGGATGTCCTCTCCTGGCCACCACAGATGGGACAGTAATGCTGAGGGTCCACATCCCAGGCCAGGGTGGGGAGAGCAGCAGCTGCCAGAGCCAGGAGTGAGGGGACAGTGTTTTGGCCCTTGTGCTGGGGATTCGTGTGTTGCTAGGCCATGGCTTACTGTGTGGTCTCAGGCAAGTGGTTGTCCCTCTCTGGGCCCCCCTGAAAAGGGCTAGAGAAATACAAAGCCAGCCCTTCCTAGAAGTGTGGGTACACACACACACACACACACACATACACACACACACACACACGAGCTCGCCCACCACACAGTCACAGACCCTCGGAGCTGGAAGGGGTCCCGGGGCCACTTAGACCAAGTGCCTCATTGCATGATGGGGAACCGAGGCTCAGAGAGGGGAGGGAACAGCCGGATCTGGGTCCTCTGTCCCAAGTCCAGGGCTCTTTCCAGAAGTCTCGGTCCCCTCTCCTCAGTGCACCACAATGCGCCACTTCAGTGTGACGAGGGAGGAGGGCGGGTGGCCTCCTGGCTGTCAGCCACCCGAGGGAAACCAGGTAGCAGAGAGATGTGGCAAAGTTCTCACATCCGGGCGCTCCTCACCTCCGGAGCGGGCGGGTGGGCGGGTTCTGTGTGGCTGAACCAGTTGTTAAAAAAATTACAATATTCAGGAGTGGATGGTGTCACAGACCTGAGGCCCTGGGGCTCTTTGACAACCCACGTTCCTCCCAAAGCACCCATAACCCAGCAGTTAAAGGGTCAACATTCAGCACAGCAGGGGACCTCGGAGGCCCCCACACCAGGGCCCCAGTCTGGGTTTATTCTGATCAGTGGGTGCCAAAGGTCAGTACCTTAAACATCACCCATGGCCAGGTCTGCGGCTCCTTAAATTTGTTCCCATCCCTCATCCCCGTGGGGAAACCCAGACAACTTCCCCATCAAGGTCACCCAGCAAGGAAAGCCAAGATTAGAAGCCAGGGGTTTTGAGGACCAGATCCTTGGCGCTAACCACCCAACAACCCTTCCGCACCTCCCCTGTCCTGCCTGAACAGGCTGGTGTCTGGGGCTTCAGTGTCTCCACTTGGCTGTGGGGCTGAGGAAAGCGACTGAGGGGCCCCTGCTTCCCATCCAGGCTCCCCTGTCCCAGGGGCTGGATTCCCACCTCCAAGAGAAAGTACCTCAGGAGGAAATCCTTGGGGGTACAGAAGGCTGAGTGGGCCCTGAGATAAGTGCAAAGGCACTAAAAATAAGGACGTTCATTTCCAGAAAGGTAGAGGTAGTTAAAGCCGAAAGCAAAGAGAAATCCTCTTTGGATGGGTCACAGATTTGCAGAAAAAGCATTTTAAAATTAAATGTGAGCTTTTGGATTTGGTTACCAGGGACCTCACCTTCCCACTCACTAACAGGTTGCTGCGGGCTTTACCCTATCCAGATCTCAGAAAAAGAAACTAGTGCAGAGGCACGGTTTGCCCTGGGACAGATCTGGAGCTAGGGGCTGGATCTTTCCTAGAATCTGAAGAGCCCACATTCCCCTCTTCTCTGCTGTGAGATGAGGCTCCCGAGTGAATGCCAGCACGCACCCCCCATGCCATCGCTTACAGGTGACACCACCTGTGTAAATAAAACATTGTCTGCTCTGCAGACAGCTGGGTACTCCTTGATGGCCTTCCTGACCACTCAACCCGAGCAAAATGTGGCCCTTTCATGTCTGTCTCCTGTCTCGGAAACTAGCACAGCTTGCAGAAACCACCACAATGAAATTACTCAGCTGTCCCTGAAAGGTGGTACAACCTGAGCCCTGTCCTATACAAGCCTCAGCCAGGGTGCCAGGCAAGGGTTAACCTTGCAGCCTCAGGTGACCCTCTCCCAACTGGGCTACCGCGCTCGCCCACCAAATCAGAGCACCCAGAGACCCTCCATGGCAGCCTGGCTGGCCCCTGGAGGGTTAATGCGCTCCGAGAAACTGCAGGCGACTTTCAACAGCTTCTGCTGCAAGGGAGGGGGACACACTGGGCAGAAGCCACTACCTTGATGGCTTTGCCTAAAACATGAGCACCATTTACCCCCTCCCTGGGCACTGAGCCTACATCTCATTTGGCTTTCCGGTGCCGCTTTGGTGATAAAGCACTGCAGACTGTGGACAAAACCAACGTGGTCTCTCCCCAGCGCCCCCTCCCTCCCCAACGCCCTGTACCCCAGCCGGTCACTCACAGGACACCACAAAAGCCGAGATCCCAGTGCCCCTAACCCAGTGGCACAACCGAGAAAAATATCTCTTACCGTGATGCTGGCGGATTGCAGGGGAGACGGGCGAGCCCAGCTCTTGCCAACCCCTCCTTCCCTGCCGGGTGGGAGGACGCTAAGTCCCGATGACTTGGTTTGAAAGCTCAGTCGGTGGAAGTGCCTGGAAGAAAATTGTTCTTTTGACTCTCCTGCTCTTCCCCAAATAAAATCGAGCCACCAGCGTGTGCACACACACATGCACACACATGCACACACTACCCCTAAAGCAGGCGGGACGGAGGCAAAAATATATACCTCTGCTCTGGACGCGGAGAAGTCAATCCCGGTGGCGGGGGGCAGACGGTGACTCCGTCAGACTGTCCTCCACATGGATCAAGCTTCCCCGGTGTGAGCCCTGCTTGCTCGGCTCCGGCTCCCCTTCTCCTGTCCGCGTAGGCAACTCCGGGCTGCCGGCAGGAGACGAATCAATTGCTTCCCCAGCGCCTGCTTCGGCGGTAGCTGTCACCACTACTGCAAAACCGTGCGTGAGCCCGCGGGAGGGGATCAGCGACTTCCCGGCGCAGGGGAGCCAAGCCTGTCTCCCACCGTGATTTATGTCTGCGGTGCCTGGAGAAAGAGAGGTCGGAGGCCCGGTGGGGAGGCTGGACGCCTCCGAGATCCCGGCGGCTGGAAACGGCAATCAGGGGACTGGCGGTCGGCACCGCGGACAGCGCCAAGATGCGGCGGAACAGGGGAGGGCGGCCGCCAGCCCCCTCCCGGGCAGGGGAGTTAAGTTATTGGATGGTTGCAGAAGGGACGGGAGGCCAGAGGGGCGGGGGACAGGGCGACAACCGCACCTCCTTCTAATACTGTCACTCAGAGCAAAGAAGCTCTAACTTTGCAGCCCCTCCCCCAGCCCACCCCCAGGCCTCGCTGCTGCGCTCTGGGCGGAGAGGCTGGATCTCAGGAGGAGGGTCCCCGCGCGGGTCCCCCACCCCCGGAGCTCAGCCGGCTGCCGCCCTCACCCACGGTGTCGCAGATTTCTGAATGGCACCTCAGGTTCCCTGGGATTCTGAGCCTGAATGTGAGGCTTGGGAAGCTGGTGCGCAGGGGGCAGGCTTACTTGGTGAAATAACCAGTTGACCCGGTCCAGGAGCCAGATCCAGCCCCCTGAGCATCGTGGAAAAGTCATTTCATGTCCCCAAGCCCCACCTGTAAACCCAGGACACGGCTGGCTTCTTTTCCTAAACACCACAAGAAGTGCTAAGGCAACCATGGCACCCACACTTGGCCCGATGTGATTCTCTGATCTCTAACCTGTCCTGCAACCCAAACGCCTGGACAGGGAGATGGGGAAATGGCCGGCCAGCCCAGGAGGGCCTGGGCCACGCTTCAGCTTGTGGTTCCAGTGGGATGAAGCTGGCCAGGCTCAAGAGTTCTAGATCAGACATTTGAGCCGTGGCCAAAAACTCACCGCCCCAAATCCCAGACTGGCTTCCTCAGCGAAACCACGTGTGGAGGAGGAAATAAATCCATCAAAGAGGGGCTCTACAAAGAGGGATGGATTCTCCTGACTCCCGGGGTCCCTGATCTTAAGCTCCTTCTCCTGCTAACTATGGGGAAGTGCTCGGGTTGGGGAAAGAATAGGGAATCTCACACCAACAGGATCTGAGGATTTCTCTGCCATAAAGAGAACCCTCTGCACTGGGAAGGGCCCCCCGCCCAGACAGCCCAGGGTGAGTGGCTACATTTGTCACTTAATTCTCCCCTTGAGAGCCAGGACTCAGACCATCAGGTTCTTAGAGACCACGGACAGCGTCCTTTTATAAATGAGGGTATTGAAGGTGGTGGTGAGGATGGTGGTGATTGTGGGCGTGGCAGTGGGGGCAGTGCTGGTGCTAATGTTGATGATCATGGTGGCTGGTGCTGGTGACGGCAGCTAGTGAGAACCTCCTCGGAACCAAGTGTTCTTCTAAGAGCTTTCCAGTGTCATCTCCTTGCACCCCCACAACTTTTGGAGGGTCATTGTCTTCTCAAACCAGAGGCCCCCCGGGGGAGCGAGGAGGAGCTGGATTGACCCCTCCCCAGCTGCAACCCGCACAGTGTGCTTTCAACTGTCTGCGTCCTGGGCGCCTGCCCAAGCCTTCGTTGAAACAAGCGCTCTGCAGCAAGATTAAAAAATCATCATAGGGTTCAGACCAGAGCTCTGCACCCTCCCTGGAGACTGTGCCCTCGAGGAATAGGCCCTGTTTTCTGGGGGGATCTTGCCCACTGTCCCTCCCGCCCTGGTCACCATGTTCACGTCTCTCTCCTGTCCCAAGCACACCTGGATGATTCCTCATTCGAGGAAGAGGCAGCTGCTGCCAGATCAGTGTCCCTGCGGCAGGGAGCTACCTGGAGAGCAGACTCCCCGAGGCCGAGTCCTGCCAGGCTCTTCTGCTCCCGGAGGCTCCCTGAAAGACAGAGCATGGCAAGAAGACCCCTGGGACCCTGGGTCCACCAAGATGCCTCGTCCTGCCCAGGTTCTGTTGAAGCCAGGAGCAGCCATGAAGCCTCTCCTCCACCCTGGACCCATGGGAAACCCTGACGGCTGTGATCGCTCTAACAACCAAAGGTACCCCCTGTGTTCTGGAGACTCCTGTGCACCGTGTCACTGTTTCATCTTCGCCACACCCCGTGTCAGGTTGCTGATGCTTTTATTTCCATTTTACAGATGAGAAAACCGAGACACAGGTGCTTAAGGCAACTAGCCTGAGGCTAGTTCACTGCCTCCTCCTCCTCCTCTTCCTGCT